CAAACGGGTTTGCCCCCCAAAAAAAACTGTGACGATGCGCACATCGCGGTAGGTCAAATTTAGCCCAGTTGTAAGCTACTGACACACACCATCCTGAGTTTCCGCTACATTTTGATACATTTCGCGTAATGTCATAAAATTCGTTTCTTGGTATGAGAAACTGTTTGAATGTGGCTACCACATGCAATATAATACGTGATATGATAACATTCAATTATATACAAAAAAGAGGAATTTAATACAAGGTTCTGACCATTCAAAAATCGTCAAATTTGAAGTCAATCGGTTTCGAACTCCTGCGTTCGATCCATGGAACCAAGGCAGCGCGTTCCATTTTTCGCGCCGCCAACAATGTTGCAACTTTCAACCGCTGTTTGCGAAAGTTCATAAAAAGAAGGAATCAAGTTTTTTCATCACAAACAGACTGTCTGAAACCCATTCCAAGTAAGACCTATATCATGAAGACGCTAGAGAAAGTGGGATTCTTGTGCAACTATACAAATGTCAGTACATATGCCCGATGTTTGTATATTTACAGTAACAGGTCATAGTGTCCAATTTCTCCTTCAAAAATTAGGTCATGAAAAATCAACCTGTTGTTGTATTTGTTCATGCCCAAATTCCTTCTCTTCTGTTTTCACCCGTAAAGTGGGTATCGTTTTGAAGCTTACTATTTGGCCGATATTCTTTCACTTTCATTTTTGTTCTATATAACTTTTAACAGAACATTTTTGAAGGCAAAGAAACTGTAAAGAAATTACACTTTTTCTCAAGGTCGAGCTGCAATACACATTGTGCAACTTCAAAACTAAGTACACAGGTGTCAAGCCAACATAACTATATTTCAGCCACATCTTACATTACAGGTGTATTGGTTAGAACTAGTTGCAAAAGCTTGCGATTCGAACAAAAATCGTTGAGAATTCGACTAAATGAGCCCAACTTACTATCGGTTATTATATTGTAACAACTACAGGATCCCAAAAGAAACAACACACGATAGATGAGGGAGGGTCTATACTTTATTAAACAATACACCAAATCGACGATGAAATAGGGCAAACGGGTTTGCCCCCAAAAAAACTAAAGGGTACCTATCTCGAGTGGAATGATCTCCATCATGCACGGTCAACTTTGAAACCTCGTTTCTCCAACAAACACCACCGGTAATGTACATCTACGACCTTGAGCGTGACGCCGGCTCTTCTTACATCTCACGTTAACGTATGACAAGGAAACACGCAAAGCGGAGTTAGAAGCGAAACAGTAAACAGTAGCAAACTCTCGCGGATTCTCGCGGATCACATTACCTTGGAAACGAAGCGCGAGATTTAAACGAGATCTTAGAGAGAGCTGCGCAGAACCGATGCGCATAGCGGTCTGCGGTTCGACTGAGTAGTCCAAAACAAGATGATAAGTTCTCTTTTCAAGATATGTATTACACCACAAACATGATTATAATAAAGCTCATAAAAAAGAATGAATGATATTATCATAAATCAAGGTCAACTTTTAGCCTAGTGTAATAACGTCAGTCCTTTTTTCATTATGTTTACTAAAAGAGTTGCCCTTGTGTATAATCAAATTTTCATTCCTCCCCATCTTAGAGGCTGGATCACCCGAGTCCACAAGGTGTCTGACAGTGACAGGGAGACGTCACAGAAGGAGATGCCTCTGCCTGTCTTCATCTTCGTCTTCACCAAGTTTAAGAAGATGCCACAGATGAACAAGGTTCTTATTTTCATAATTTATATTTCTCTTAAAGTTTACAGACCACTTTTACTCTTGTTCTTTGTTTAGGTATCTGTATTTAACATTATAGATCATTTAATGTTTCTTACAATAACAAACATACATTGGCAGGGAAAGACATAGCGTGCCTTCCCTGAATTGCAAAACGTTTGTTACAACAGTCATTCTGGTGTTTCACATACGGTTGCAAAGCAGAACATTATATTGTGTACATCCATGTACATAAAGATTACAATTGTTGAAATACTCAAATACAAAACAATACCTGAAATACAACACAATGCATTGTAGGTATGTAGGTAAAACGTAAATGCATCACATGCCCTGGTGCAAATAGAACTGGTCATGTCCTTGGTGCTGAAATACCATCACAATGAAAAGTAGATTGTCATTGATGCTATGGTTACAGCCCCAAACAGATTTAACAATACATTTAACAGTGGTCGAAATACTTTTTTTCAGTGTTCTGCAATATTGCAGAAGAGTCAAAATTTTGTTCTGCAATTTGGAAATACTTTCTGCAAATACACAAGCCTCTAATAATGGCTCTATACTACAATCTTGCAGGTTTATAAGCATGAACTATTGATTGATATCCAAATTAGTGAAGACAAATTTTTGGAGGTCCAAAAGGAAACAAAAGATAGACAAGTCAAGACAAAGTTGATGTAAATTAGTGAAGAAACTCCTGTTGTTTCAGAACAGGAGCTTAAGTGTTTTCTGTCCTAGCTTGGGGCCAAGAGCACCAAATCCCAAGTGCCAATTTTTCCTGCTGCAAAATTGCAGATTGTATAAATTTTTCTTCTGCAATCTTTGAAATCTATCTGCAGATTGCAGACTGCAGACAGGTATTTCGAACACTGATTTAAGTTTGGTTGTGATTTTGAATGGTAAATGTCTTACTATCAGATCCTGGAGGTATGTCTAGATGGGACAGACACCATGCAGAGGTTATCTTGTGAGGAGGATGTGATGAAAGCTGTGAAAGAGAGACAGCACTACGCCATGCTCAGACAACAGCTACAGAACAGGTAGATTAGTCTTGTAACATGTAAACTCCCACTTGATGCAAATCATTAGTTATGTATGTATTCTTGATTTTAAATTCAGATCTGCAATATTTTGCTTTAAAATGTATCACTGTTGCATACACTTTTCTTTTTCTTTTTTGAAAAGAATGCCTTGCTTTACTACATGTACAGTGAAGATTCACTCATCACTCAAAAGCATCCCAATGCATTGACCATGTACATGTAACTGAAGCTTTAGATTCTGAGCCAATAACCCTAACTTCAAGACCACCGTGCCATCTAACATGTATTTGTTTGTGCCTTTGTTTATTGGTTCTTCTTGTATTACAGAGGCCTGGAGGGAGAAACTGTGTCCCTGGAGCTGTTCTCCAGCAGCAGCAGCTCTTCTGTACCCAAATATGTCCTCCACATCACAGACACAAACACAGTCAGGGCTACAGACAGGCAGTTTGCTGTCTTTATTGTACCTCAGGGAAGGTAAGAGGTGGTGGTGTGTTCTGTAAACAGCAGGACTAGTAGGGCCTATGTACTGTACAGTACAATATATTACACTGTCTTTAGATATTCAAAATTTACAAGATTTATATAATTTTTAAGCAAATTTTTGTCTTCATTGTACCTCAGGGAAGGTAAGGGGCAGTGGTGTATTTTATTAATCTCTAAGCAGCATCTCTCGGCAGCAAGGCACTAAGTTGGCCAAGCTTTATCCAATTGGCCCATTAGAGATACACTTCAAGATAAGTAATTTGTGCTCAGTAGGACTAGTGGGGCTATGTACTGTACAGTATATGGCACAGATTCTCATTGGATATTCAAAAAAAGTTAGCAAGCGTAATTTCATAGAGTCTGACATAGCCATTATAGTAAACAGAAAATAGCATCAGGAGGAATAGTTTTCAGGTATTCTGTTGACAAGGTACAAATATTGTACAAGACAGTAGTAGCTGTTTCTAGTGAGGTAGAGTGGCTGTTTATTTTAGTGGTTCTTTATTTTTAGAGAAGTGGAGTGGCTCTTTGCGACAGACGATGGTAGGAGACAGCTGGCAGAGACTGCGGGGTTCAGGAGACTGGTGGTGGTCTCCCTGCAGAGGGAACATCCTTATGAGACCATGGCGGACATACAGAAGGAACTGTCAGCCAAAGTCATGGAGCTGGCACCTCCGGGCTTCAATAGGAAAATACAGGTGAATGTTTTGGAAGATTATAGGCTGAAACTCTGTCATAGCAGCACACAAGAAATTTATCAAGGTACATGTACTAATAAAAAATGCATACACTATTCAAGACATTATGAAGATGCATGCAAAGATTCTTAAGTAAGTCATGGATCTACCGTAAATCAGTTTGCATGAAAGTACTGGTCAAAAGATTTCACATTCTATTAACCAGAAATTTTGTATTGTGAAGATATGAGTACAAGGACTCAGTGTTACACAAGGGTACTATTAAGTTCAGTGGTGTGTCTATGGTACAAATTTAATGGTTCTATGTGTGTTTCCAGGTCCCATTCCTGTCTGTAGGTGAGAACATCGGTACCCGTACCGTGTGTTACGAGGGTACCAGTGACTTCAGCGGTCCGTACGTAGTGGAGGATGTGGAGGGGGAGGAAGGAGTAATCTTCAGGAACCTCATCTTCATGTCCAACAGGAACGCTGTCCAGTCTCAGGCCAGGATGGTGCAAGGTATTTGTGCGAATGTGTTGTCTCCAGCATCATGCTCTATCCAGAACCATGCCCACGCACAGTCCTGGATAGTCCATGTGTATCCAGAACCCTGTGCCTGGATTCTTTGATTCCCAGAGACTATTCAAAATTGTGCATGATCCAAACCCATTCAGGCATAGGCAGTGTTCTTCATACAGTAGAATGAGGGGAGGAGGGAATTGTATTATTACCACAACTGTGCATTGGGTTTTGAAAGTCAGAACATAATCAGCTTACAGATGTGTCCTATGTGTCAGAGATATTCTTGTGTAGTACTTTGCATTTAGTGATTATATCACAATAATTGAGCATTAGGCTTTGAAAACAGATCTGTCCTCTGTTTAGCCATAGCTGATGCTGTTTAAGCCAAGGCAGATGCCGATTTAGTACTAGTATGTAATGTTGAAAACCTTGTTCTCTGTCCCTTCTTCAGAAACCCTTCCCAAGAAGAGGGGTCGGCGGCGAGCAGGGAAGAAGCTTGTGGTGGATTGTGGGTACCTGGCCTGTCAGCATCACAGGGTCATGGTGGCAGGGCTGGGCTGTCTGCCTAATGTCAGGCAGTTACTGGGTAAATATCTGTGTAACAGTGGGGTCAAGCACCACCAACAATTTAAGGTATCCAGACTTTCTGGCCTTGCAGTTAGAGTGTTGGGTTCGTGAGCTGGTGGCATTGGGTTCAGCACAGGTTTGAATCCACAAGCCAGGAAACTGTATTACTCACCCCTATGTGTTTCATCTATACAAGTTCAGTAGGACTCTGTCACACATAGCTGACCATAGAGTCCCAATTCTTTTCCAAACCATGGATTAAAACATGTGGGTGTTTTAGAAGTATGTAAAATCTGTAAAATCAAGTATGTGCGTTTTAACTTTAGTCTCCATTTCTCCCTAGACACCAGACTGGATGTTGTGTTGGTGGGTCTGGGTGGAGGGGGTCTTCCTCTCTTCTTACACAAACACTTCTCCAAGGTAACATTGTTTAATTATTTGTATTTGTTGTTTATACCTATGTGTCTGTCTGCATGTCTAGTTATAGACCTTATGAAAGTCTAATAACTTTTGTAGTGTCAATAAAGTTTTCTCTTTATCCATTTTGTGTACTAGGTATATTTTACAATATTGTTATAATGACTATTTGCTTTACATGTACACTGTCAGTATTTGGGTTTCAACATGTAACGGACCTTACAAAGATTATAATGTCATTGTGTTCACACCTTATTACCTGATGATCCTTACCCCAGATCCAGATGGACGTAGTGGAGCTGGACCAGTCCATTCTGCAGGTTGCAGAGGGGTGGTTTGGGTTCCAGCAGGATGACAGAATGAGAGTACACATTGCTGACGGACTGGCCTACTTGGAGGAGAGGGCTAAACAGGGTACTAGTTTACTGCCTTGCGAGAAACCTGGGGAGGGGGTTCACTTCTTGCTCGAACGCTGGCTTTCTCTCCGCCGTAATCCGACGATTTCTTTAGGTTGTATGATCTAGCCAACCTCACCTCCTCTTCCGCGTCTTCCGAGAGGCTGTCCGACCAGGCCTTACGCACTAGCTCCGGAACTTTACTGTGCCGCCGAAGGCCTCTGATCTTCTCCTGGACGTTAGCACTACCCCGCTGTCGTCCGAAAAAGTCTTCATCTGAGGTTCCTTCTGGTCGCTCAAAAGTGCACCTGCCGCGGCCGTATGGTCCCGGGTGTCCTTTCACTGGTAGCCGACACACGGAACATCGTCTCTTCTTCTTCCTCTTCTTCTCACGATCAGACTCCATATTCGCAAAAACACCAGATGAAAAGACAAACCAAAGCAAGACCGGCACCCGCGTACCGTCAAGTCGAATGGCGAATCACGTGATCGTGTCAAAGGTTACGGGCCGAAACAAAAGAAACAGGGGTTTTCTAGACAATTAACAAAAATTACCAACGGTCAATTTTTCCCAAATAACCTCAATGCAATCAGAGAATGCAAACACATCTTTATTCAGTCTGACTGTTTGAAAGTATGTTCATGGGTGAATATCTGAGGTTAAATGCACTGAGAAATTAGAATTAAAAGGGGTAGGAAATTTTCTCGATAAGCCTCATAACCCCTGCTTCTCCTATTGGGTCAGTTAGTCCTCACTACTTGTGAGGCTGTTTCTGACTCAGGGAGAAGAGTTGCTGTTACAGTTCTATACCTCTAGCTCTATACCTAGAAGTGGCCAATGGCCTTGCATTGAGCGACACCGTTAAAAAAAAAGAATGGTAATATCATTTTTATTTCTCATCTCATTTTATCTCATAATCATATTTCAAAGGAAAATGTGTGAAAATTGGTGTGAAGTGCCATGATTATGTTATTGTCAATTGAGGCACAACATTGGGGCCTGCTAGAGATTTTAACCCAGAACCTTTAGGTCCTAAGCCAAGAATGCCTGTCCCCCTCCCAGGCAGCAGAAGTTGCCATGTTGTGATCCTGGATGTGGACAGTAAGGACGTCACCCTGGGGATGAGCTTTCCTCCACAGCCGTTCGTCCAAAAGGAATGTTTGACAAATGTCAGAGACGTGCTACATGATGATGGTAAGGCTTGGGCTAAGTGTGTGGCTTTCATCTTGATGTTGCGTCTGGTAATGTTTATCAACTTTCAACGAAAGGCTCTTAGCTTTCAAGTGAGGGAATTCTCACTAGATAGCTATGACCAACGCTTACAGTTAGATGTGTACAGTCTAGGAGAAACAGGTCATTCAGTGTGGTGTAACCAGCATGCCTGCAAAGCTGGTGTGTTTCGCTGTCGGGCAATCGTACCAACTACACAGATACTGATTAGTTAGGCATAATACCAAAACGTTAGAAACCATACTGATATTTTTTTCACACAGTTGACAAGATTAGCAGACATTTCTCTTGTGATAATAAAATACATTTTACGTTTTTCAGCAGTAGTCATAAAGTAGGGCAAGCCATTAATAATAGCTTTAAGCTAGTTGGGCTGCCCTGGCTGTGTTGTACCAGCCGAACCAATAAATAAATAAAAGTTTATCACTTTTCCCCAGGTTTGTTCATCCTGAACCTGTCCTGTCGGAACACCACCCTGCGAGCCTCTGCCATAGAAACCGTCCGCTCCGTATTTCCCAGGATCCTCAGCAAGAAGATCGAAGACGAAGTCAACGAGATTCTCTTCTGCTTTCCTCGCGAGAAGGACGTTCATGAGAGCGGGGACGCGGGACGAGCGGCGGAGTTTTCTTTAGAGGAGTTGGTGCACCTTAAGAAGGCGGTGGGGGTTGTGGAGAAGGTGGCGAAGGGTTGTGCACAGAAATGGGACCAGACTCTGGAGCTTACAGAACTGTTGGAGGGGCTGAAGCTAGCGTGACACATTGCCACAAAGCACTCTGTTACAAAGAAATATGTAGAAAACAATGTTCACTAATATTTCAAAGTTTGTAGTCCCTTGCAAAGTTTAAAAGCAAAATGCCTTCATGAGTAGGCATTACCCATAACGATGATTTGATAAAGAAATTGAATGAAATTAAATTACATTCAAGTCCTTTTAATGTTTTCATTCTGGCCAGTGTACCCTGGGTAACAATGTTGTATTGTTTAAGTATTGGATACCAATAGAGAAGTTAAAGTGAGGATGCGGGATGAGCGGTGGAGTTTTCCTTGGAGGAGTTTGGGCACTTTAAGAAGGCGGTGGGGGTTGTGGAGAAGGTGGCGAAATGGGACCAGACTCTGGAGCTAACAGAACTGTTGGAGGGGCTGAAGCTTGCATGACATGATATAGTTACAAGAAATTTAAGTCAATCAAAGGGAAAAGAAGACCATAGAAGCTAAATTTATCCAGATTGAGTTTATTTTGTGATGTGAAACTGCAACAGTGCCCAACAATTGTAATGAGTTCTCTCCTCAAAATCCAGAAGTTGCAGTATTTGCACATACAAGCATAAAAGATGAATTTATTTCTTAATTAACTTATAGTCACTGGAACAAAAAAGTTACTGAGTTTGTATCATTTAAACTAATCTGTGTTTGTACAATAAACTGTTCTCTGAAAGTTTAGTATTTTATTACATCATGAAGATTACACATTCAGAAAAGCACAGCATTATACAAAAAGAAAAAAAGTCAAGATAAAAGTAGTTTTGTTACACTTTTATTAGTCCTTTATGTCCTCCTGATTAAACCCAAGTCTCATGTTTTAGAATGCTTTTCATAAATTGTCTAGGAATGAAATAACAAAGAAGCCATGTTGTATATACAGTGAGTGTTTTAGACCTTATTTTTTGTTCAATGCAGCAGAGTTGAAAATATAACCTAATCCTTTGTAATCAAAAGCTGAATCTTGCTACATACACTTTGTCTAACTTTTTATTTTATTTGACTTTCAACATATGGTACCCAAGGCAGTGTCTCAGTATCCCTTGTTGTAGAGGTATCAAGACTTGTGGGAAAATGTTTTACCTTTTTTATCACAACTTGATGTGCATGCTAACTTTACTTCTCACAGGACGGCACCCATACACAGCATATTGGATTGCCCCATCCTTAGGCAGGTAGGACAGCTCATCGGAAATCTGCCTTAGTTTGGCCTGGAAAGAAGAAAGATATAAAACTAGAAAGGCCGACATTTGCTCGGGATTTCACTCTATCTCCCTCCCCATTCCAAAATGGACGGTTCCATATCAACCTTCCAGGATCAACTATTTAATACCTCCCTCTTCAAAACAATTGTTTTCCAAACCTTCATCATACAGTGCCCTGCAGTAGAAACATACTCGACACCACCATACAGTGCTTTTCAGTACTCTTAAACACCTAATGTGAAGTTCTTTTCAATAACAAATATATGTATTCTCAAAACCCCCATGTAGTGCAATCCATACCATGGTATTGTACTGTATGAACTGAAATACATGTATGATAAATATCTTCATCGACTAAGGTAAAGGAAAATATCATACATTGTTGATCATGATCATCATGATCTCTTCAAATGCATTTGTAGCATGAAGCTACACTCAAAATACTCCTTTTCCTTTACAGTTCATGGACTCCCAGTAGTTTGTGTAAAATCATCTTTATGAGAGTAAATATTAAGTTCTACTTACCCCAGTTATTGAGTGTCCCAGTCCTTTCTCCAACAAGACGTCCCGGGCACACAGCTCTATATGCTCCCTCTCCAGAGGTAGGAATGGGACGACATGGTTTACCAGATTGTGGCTCAGTAACTCTGCTTGCCAGAAGCCGGTTCCTGAAAGAAGATCGGTATTAATTAAGTTCTATTCCTTTATAGGCCCTACGAGACAAGTTGTGTTTTTTTTTTGCTGCATTTTGTAATATAATATTTCTATAGCAAATTACCACGCATGCATGCACGCACACAATATCACATAAAACTGTGTAACATGACAGCAGCCTACCTTTTACACACTCTTTGTCACGTTGCATGAATCCATCGCAGCAGTAGTACTGCGTGTGAGAGCAGGTTGCTTTCCTATACGTGGGCGGGCTGTTTGGAAAGATAAAAGTGATCTAGCTACTTGAAATAAATACGAAACAAATCAAGCAACTGGATAAAGTTAGGAGTTTTGGATATATCCGCTATCGTTCAGTAGTGACTGAGAATGTTTACAGCTTCATCTAACGTACGTGTGGCATATAGAAGCCCTCCAAATGATACCTGGTGCAAGTCCAAAAGAAGTAGCAAGTGTACGTGTGCTCCTCGGTGACTTTTTCAATGCAAGGATACTTCTTGATTTCCGTGCACACGTGGGGTCCCCCGGCAGGTGGAGCATCTATTAACACAAACACAAGGCAAACGTGAGGGGTTTTTATTCACCAGAGTTCAAGCCAAAAACCTAAGAGAGATTGACAGGATAACATTGGTACTGAAGCTCAGAGGTTAACTTACCTCGACAGGTAATTCGAATTTCAGGCACTTCTTCCCAACTGCCGCCCCGTGATACCTTCCAATATTTCTCGCTTTCTTCTGGTCGCATCATCTTATCTTCAAGAACTGCCAACGTTGAGGCAGCATCTCGCTGTTCTACCGCCACGCGCCAACTGCTACCGTCAAAGAACAGGTAGAACTCTGCTTTTTCATGTTTGTAGACTGGACGGTCAGCGCGGGTCTCAGTCTTGACATAGTTGCCCCCTGCTTCTCCTTGCAGGCCCTCGATGCGTATGTTAGGGCACCAAGCTGTTGAAATACAGATCAGTACCACTTTGTTTATGATCTCGGACCTAGAGTGATGTCTCGTCCTGGAGGGATGCCTACTAGTTAAATTATATTTGGCTAAATATCATGGCAGCATTAGATTTATGATTATCACTATACTAAAACAAACTGCTGGATAAAAGAAGAGTTTAGATAAATACAAATAAAGACTCACGTTGTTCCCCAAGTGCATTCTTGATGATAATTTGCTCAAAGTCCTTAAGGGCGAATGACTCTCTGTCAACGCCATTTCTTCTCAGCTCCAAAGCCTTGTCGACAATCGGTTCTGCTGCTGTGTTACTGTAGTCAAAGTAAGTAAAATTGCGTAAGACAAAACTTACATTAGATAGGTATACATAGACGTCAAACCATCCACTACTAAGTATACTAGAAGTGCTATTAAATCAGAGCTCTCAGTCATAAAGCTCAAAA